AGACCCACACAGCCACCGGCTTACAGACCCACACAGCCACCGGCTTACAGACCCACACAGCCACCGGCTTACAGACCCACACAGCCACTGGCTTTATATGTGCAGTAAGTACTTTACCCACTCAGCACACAGCCCTACACGTCCCATTTTCTGAAAGTGTAATGGGCCTCACCATCGAGGACCAGACAGGACAGAGCCTTTCTTTGTGTGGGATCCTTTCAGGAGGGGCATGGGTCCTGTGGATGAGCCCTGAGTCCCCCGAAGATTGCCTTGGTCTCTTGTTGGTGCTCTGCCCACGACCCGGGGTCAAGGGTTTACATTGGCCACTCTCCTCCAGTCTCAGCACCTGCCCCACTGACCACCCCCCAGTACTGATGAGTCTGTAAAGAACCTCCATGGCCTAGAAAGACATGGAACCCTCTTCACGAACCCAGTCACTAAGGATGTTCAGAGCGTATCAAATCATCCCGTGCTCCAGTTCTAAGAATACAGAGAGGGTAAACACCAAGCTGCAGGAATGGGATCAACAGAAAAAACTAAGCCTACGTTGAGAACAAGCTTTTTAAGCTAAGACCCATCCATTCACATATCTATAATTAATGAGCTAATTACAAATGAGTGTTATCTAATCATGGGCGCTGCCCTCCTGACAGGTCCTTGGCTCTAGTCTGGGGCAGAGTAATTGCATTTCCTTGAGCAATACAACTTTACTTAACAAACAATACCCTGTAATTTAGACCTTTTTACTAATTCAAGGCAGACAAATAAAATAAAACCGAGTGGGGCAGGGCAGGATGACAGTGCTGGTGTCTAACTAGATCATTTTCTTTACATGAAAACGAGATCAAGCCAAGAGTATGGGCGGAGTGTTTATAGAAAGCAGCCCTCTCCCTCCCCCCCCCGCCCCCCCGCCCCCTGCCAGGGGAGGAGCAAGGTTGCGATCATCTTTTAGCCAGACTAGGGCAATCCATTCAGTAGGTTCAGCAGTAATGAGAGGGGATTATGCAGCAATTAAGAGCTCCATGGTTGTATGAGGTAGAATCCTTCATTCAGTGACCTCCACCGGCCCTTCATGCTGGGACACGTCCACAGGAGTGAGCCCAGAGAGAACTCCAAATACCCCTGCGCTGACTATGAGATAACAGACAGGTCACCAGCACTGACTATGAGATAACAGACAGACAGGTCACCAGCACTGACTATGAGATAACAGACAGGTCACCAGCACTGACTATGGGATAACAGACAGGTCACCAGCACTGACTATGGGATAACAGACAGGTCACCAGTGGTCACTATGAGATAACCAACAGGTCACCAGCACTGACTATGGAATAACCAACAGGTCACCAGCGCTGACTATGGGATAACGGACAGGTCACCAGCACTGACTGTGGGATAACCAACAGGTCACCAGTGGTCACTATGAGATAACCAACAGGTCACCAGCACTGACTATGGAATAACAGACAGGTCACCAGAGCCCAGGGAAGAACGAGGCCTGTGAGTGGGAAGACACTTGTGCTCGGGTCTGTGAGGTCACCAATGGAACACAAACATTCCATGCCCCCTCCCTGCCCCCATCTTGTCTGCTCCTACAAACCTCTCCCCGCAGGGAAATACTGTTTTCCTCTCTCAGGACCATTTTCTGGCTACAGGTGAAGTAACCACTGTCCTTTGTGGGTGTCCCTGCTCCTCCAGAATCCCCACAGTTCACGGGGACTTACCCAGCCTCCCAGAATCAGGTGAGAACCCTGGAGCCTAAGGTGGGAGGAGGGTGGCATCTGTTACCTTTGTCTTTCCTGGCTTTCTCCCTAGGCTCAGGACCTGGCAGAGCCATCGAGAGAGAGGAGAGAAAGAGAGCGAGAGAGACAGAGACAGAGAGACAGACAGAGACAGAGAGACACAGAGACACAGAGACACAGAGAGAGAACTCTTTGAAGCTGGCCTTAGAATGGTGCAGCATGCACTTGGCTGACTTCAGGAGCCAGCAGAGGCTGGCAGAGCAGAGAGGCCAGCAGGGAACCAGGTCCTGTGACTGCTGCACTCAGGGATCCAGCCACACCTGAGGCTCTGCCTCTCTCCTTGGATCTCCCAGACACGACACTTTTCCTTTTTGTTTGAACAAGCCGAGTTTCCTTTAGAATCACTGACTTCCACCAGCAAGCCTTGCCCAGGACTCCATCCAGAGCTCCAAGCCTTTCTTAAATCTTCACTTTGCTAGATGTCCCCAAACACACTAAGCCCCCTGTAACTCAAACAGAGCTCACTGGCACCCCGTTTCCCTGCCAAGGGAGATGCTTGTGGGGTGCCGCTATGCATCTAGCCCTGGCCTCCCTCTCCAGGAACCCCTGGCACAGGCAAGGATGAAGACCACAGGCTGGGGGCAGTTTTTGCTTGCTAAATGCCAGCATGGTGGTCAGGCCTCGCGTGGTCAAGCCATGGCTGTCGATACTTTCACTTCGGCATGCAGACAGCCTGTGAATCCCACCAGTGGTGAGGCTGAGGATGAGAAGCAGGACAGAGTTGATGGATCAGGCAGCGACTGACAGATGGAAGCTGGGATCAGTCTGGCTGGGTAGACACCCTGTGGATAAAGTACTTGCCTCCCAAGGGTGAAGACTCAAGTGTGGATCCCCAGGACCCTTGTAAAATCAGAGGAGACGTGTGTGTGTGTGTGTGTGTGTGTGTGTGTGTGTGTGTGTGTGTGTGTGTGTGTGTAATCCCAGCACTCTCATAGCAAGAGGGAGGTGGAGACGGGACAATTCCCAGCAGCTCAGGGGCCAGTTAGCCTGGCACACATCTGTGCACAGTAAGAGACCTTGGTTTCAGTGGAAGGCGAGAACTGACCCTGGAGGTCAGTCTCTGACTCCCACATAGGCACCACGGTACATGTGTGCCTACCCACACCCCACAAAAGAGAAATCAGAGAGAGCTACCAGCCTTCCCTCCATCCTTCTAAGTATAATCCTCGCCAGCCTCAGTTTACCCATCGTCAGGCTCCCTGTCTGCTTTTTGCCCCAGGCCTTCAGCCCCACACCGTGTTCCATCTGATACTGCTCAGCACTCACTCTGTGACAGGAGCCAGCAGGTCCAGCCTACCCTTGGACATCAACATCACCCTTTTAACTGACCGCGTGAGGGACCTTCAGATGTCTGCTCCCCCAGCACTCACCTGCTCCGCGGAGAGTTTTTAAGCTCTGATTATGTGCCTGACACCATGTTATATGGTGAGGCCCAGAGGGCCCAAGACAAGGCTTGTAGCCTCTGAGGGTCCCAAGTCTAGTGACAGAGGCCAGCGCCATTCGGAGCTCATCTGCATGGCAGAGGGAGTGTGGGAACTGGTTGAGGGAGATTTGTGAGGCACAGTGGAGGAGCAGCTGGCTCGCCAGGGACTCAAGGCCGGCTTGCAAGGCAGGAGATATATGATCTGAGTCACGGGGTGGAGAAGGAGCAGACAGTCGAGAAACACGGGCCGTGCGACCACATTAGCGTGAAGAGAGGGACAAAGCAGCAGGCACGAGAGAGGCCGCCAAGTCACAAGGCAGAGAGGGGGACGCTGACGACACAGTCAGAGGCAAGGGTTCCCTGGAGGGCACTATCAGCTGGCTTACACGCTTGAACTCTACTCCACAGGGCATAGGTCAAGGTTGAGCATAAGCAAACCGTGGGCGTGGCTGTGGTTTAATAAAACTTTATCGACATAAACAAGATGAGGGCCAGATGTGGCCTGTGCCCATGGTGTAAGGAGCCATGGAAACCAGATTACCATGGTGGAGAGACCACACAGGCTCAAGTACAGAGGAGGGGACAGAGGGTGGGGCGGGTTGCAAAGTCTTTCCCAGAGTCCTAGAGAGGAAGGATGATCATGGCGACAGGTGTTGGGGTCATCGTGAGTGCGAGGGACCAGCTGGAACAGGGACAAGAGGCTGAGGTGGATCAAGGGTTGCCACTGGAGTGACTTGATGACTGACGGAACCCCCAATGGCATGGATGACACCGGTGGGTGGTGAGAGGCGACTGCCATCAGCACATCTTAGGGGACAAGAGGTGGGAGAGACACTCCTGAGAGGCTAAAGAAGTTCAAAATCTGGGGTAACACAAGTGCCGCAGTGCTGGACCCGAACGCTTCTGTAGCTGGGGAGTCAGCGGTCACAAGAGAATGAATTGCTGTCCAGGCAAGGAAAAACAGCCAAGTGGGCGGCAGTACCTGGACACCCCAGCATTCGGGGAGGGGTAGGAAGGAAGGGACCCAGAAAGGTGTTTGGGGGGGGGGTCTCTCGGGGGAAGAGATGTTGGCACAGTTGTGAACAGAGCTCTCCAGAGAGCTGGGTGTTTCTGACACTGAGGAGTCATCAAGAAAAAAGAGCGCGGAATGCGGTGTCTCTTTGGAAACTGCTGACAACCGTAAGAAAGTTCGTGGTGGCGCACATCTTCAGCCCCAGCACTGGGGAGGCAGAAGCAGGCAGAACTCTGTGAGTTCGAGGCCAGCCTGGTCTATGTAGTTTCAGTGAGGTGGTGAGGGCAGGTTTGGAGATGAGGTAAACTGAGGGACAGACATGTGGAGAGAGGAAGTGAAGAGGGGTCATGCAGGCCTTCCTTTTGAGAAGCCTGGATGTGAACAGAGGAAGAAAGGAATCAGTTGGCCTATGAAGTGATGGGCAGGACAGGAAGGAGAGGACCCTAGTCCCGGGAGGGAGGGAAGGAAGGAGAGGGTGCAGGAGAGAGCGGGGTGCCGGAGGGAGCAGTGTTAACTGTCTCACAAGTGAGGGTGGGGACTGAGAAGCGCTGACACCCATCTGAGCCCTGTGTGCAGGCGGGCTGAGGACTCAGTGAGCAGCAGAACCCGTGGCCAAGGTTGAGGCTCTGATGGGTGTGGAGCGAGGGGCAAGAAGAAAGGATTGCCCTCCTTGGGAGTCCCAGAGTGTCCTAGAGACAAAAGCAAGGAGGTGAAGAGGGTCCAGCAGGGGACAGTCTCAGAGGGCAGGAAGCAGGTGCTGGACATGGCAGGACTCGGGGGAAGGGGGTGCAGCCCCCATCCCCACCCCGCCCCCACCCATTGTTCTGAGTGGCTTCCTGAACCAAGTCAGCTGCTGCCACCCAGGCATAAGCTCACCCTCTGGGGCCGTGGAGGTGATTTAGTGTCTGTCTCCAGAAGGGCTCACATTTATCAGTGGCAGCTGCTTGGTTCCAGCCGGCCGTAAGTCACAAGGCTTTGGGTGTATTTCTCCGGAGCCGACGTCCTCTTGTAAATAACATGGGAATGCTCTCAGCTCCCGGCAGAAGTCTGCCCTCTCGCTCTTCTGTTTTTAGAGTGACCTTCTTTTTCAGCAGAACTGTAAGTGCCCAAGAAGCTCATCCATGGAGTCCTGCCAAGCACCAGGTAAGACCGGGCCAGGTGTGTAGGGACCCTCCCCTGTCTAGGGTGGGACGTGGTGCCGGTTTTGTGATAGACAGCTACTCAAGTTCTAAGCGCAAGTGCCCTTTGACCTGGGGGAATCCACACAGAAGGACACGGGTTTGTCGACGCCTGACAAGTTTGTGACAAAATGTCTAAAAAGCACCAAAAAGTGAAATATGACAATCACAGTTAAATAAAGCAACTTGTCACTTAAGAAGCCCCTCCCAGGAGATAGAGTCAAGGCCTCGGAAGGAAAGAGCCCCAGATACATGGCGGATGCAAAGTGGAAAGGCACCATAGGATGTGTGAGGAGCACATACATACATACATACATACATACACACACACACACACACACACACACACACACACACACACACACACATACACACACACACACACAGTGCTGTGCCTTCTAAGAGCTCACAAAAGTGCTATCTATGAGTGTGAGAGACGTTTGTAAGTACGCAGAGAGAGGCGTGGAAGGGTATATACCAAACCAAAGAGGGGCGAACCTTTTCGAAGATAACGAAGGTTACGGAGTGGTATGGGGTGTTTCTCTGTTGGACTCTTAGCTTCTTATTTTTTTTAAATATTGAGTGATTTAGGAAGAATGATCATGCACACACCCATGGGTAAAAGGTTCCTAAGATGATCATTTTGTTGTAGTCACAGTAATGGAGAGAAATTAACTCCTTATCTTGTACAGATACGGCCTTACCCTTCTTTTTCTCTTCCAGTTTTTCAGACAAAATCTAATACTGCCCTTATTATCATAATAATGATATTTATTGTTTTTGATTTTTTTCTAGTGGAGATTTTGTTTCAAAACTCTCAATTTGGACACTTTAAATCCAGTCACAAATATTTATCTGAAACTGGTTTGAGTTCTAGTCCCTTGTAGGAGAGCAAGGGAGTTTAAAATCCTGTGCAATTACACAGAAGCAAGAATTCTCCAGGAACCCATGTGAAGAAAGTCTCTGTAACTGTGCTAAGAGGGGACAGAGAAATAGCCACTCTGGTTAGCATAATCACCAGGCCATTAGCATATGCACCTATCAATTAGCATATTCAACAGGTGATTACCATATTCACCAAGTTATTAGCATGTTCACCAGGAGATTACCATATCCATTGTTCATAGATTTTGAAAACGGGGGAGTGGTGGTTAGTCAAGACCAACTTGACAGGATCTAGAATTATCTGGTACTGGTCTCTGTTCATGCCTGTGAGAAATATCTTAATTGATGTGGGGAGGATGAATCTCAACTGTGGGACCACTCACTCCTCGACTGAGATCCTGAGCTGTAAATAGGGAAAGGATCTGAGCCCTAAGATGCGTTCATCCAGAGGCTGATTGGCCAGTAGCAGGGCAGGAAATATAGGCAGGACAACCAAACTAAGGATGATGGGAAGGAGAAGGGCGGAGTCAGGAGTCTCCAGCCAGAAACAGAGGGAGCAGGAGATGAACATGCCATGCTAATAAAGGTATCGCCACATGGTAGAGGTTAAATAAGGAATATGAGTTAACTTAAAAAGAAAGAGCTAGTTAGCAGCAAGCTTGAGCTATTGGTCAAGTATTTTGCAGTCAGCATAAGCCGGGGAACGGAGTGAGCCTCAACGTCAGGAGGAGTAGGTGAGGAAGACGTACTAATGAACAGGGCAATGTTACTCAGCTGTAAAGAAAAGTGAAATCAAGAAATTCACAAATAATTGGATGGGACTGGAAAAATCCCCAAAGACAAACCTCACATGCTTCCACCCCTGAGGGTCCTCTCTTTGAATCTTCTGTTTTGTATGCTTCATCTGATACACATGGAAGCCAAGAAACCAGAAACAGGCTCCTGGGGGTGGACATCTTAAGAGGAGGGTGTGTGTGTGTGTGTGTGTGTGTGTGTGTGTGTGTGTGTGAAATGTAAAATGAAAGGGCAGAGGGACAGTGAGGACAGAAAGGGTCGAGCAGAGAAGAGGGGAGTGGGGACATGGGGGGGGTAACCAAAATGAAGGGTGCCTGAAAAGGTTGTGTGGAAACTGAGGACCTTCCGGTCAAAGGAGAAATTCAATCAGAGGGGACAGTAGAACACAGCTACCATAAAAAGAGGGACAGAAAACCCAGGGTGAAAGGTTAAGCAGAGATAGGAGTATTGGAGAGAGGAGAGCGTCAGGGTGGTAATAAAAGCTAAGGGAGCATCAGGAAACCTTGGAAATCCACTAGTTTGTAAGTCAGTTAAGAAAATATGATACACACCACACACACACACACATATAACACACACCCCACACACTCCCACACCCCACATATCCCACACACATACACACACCACACACATACACACACACAAACACATACACACACCACACACACATATAACACACACCACATACACTCCCACACCCCACATATCCCCCCCACACACACCACACACACATACACACACACAAACACATACACACACCACACACACATATAACACACATCCCACACACTCCCACACCCCACACCCCCCCACACACCACACACACACACACCACACACACATACACATCACACACACACAGTTTAAACAGAAGTTCCCTACATGGGTAGATAACGCAACTTCTAGAAGACATGTGTGAAGTGAAAATTTCACAGCCAGGTGTGGGGCACCTCCTTTGGAGTCACTGGTCAGGGAGGTCTCAGAGGCACTCAAACCAGCATAAGCTATTAGCATTACCCTTGGTTGCCATTCATAACTACCTGGTAAGCCCGATTGCTGAGGACACCAGTCAGTTCAGCTGCAGCTCATGGAGCAACCAGGAGACTCTCCTATGGCTGGCTTAGATAGTGTGGGAGGGTGCTGTGCAGGCCAGTGGGTAGGAACGATCTCAGTTCCATACCCATAGCTGACCCTATGCGCTGCAGAACCAACCTGCTGGGAAGACTGCCTGTTGGTATGATGGTTACAGGGAAACCAACCTCTTTCTGACTGTATATGAGACCTGCTCCACAGGGGGGCATTCACACCTGACACTGTAAACTTGGTCAAAAACCCATGACTTGGGGGTCAGGGGGTATCACAGGCCCTTAGGAGGAAACCTACTGGTGTTATACTGTAAAATGCTCACGCTGCCAAACTGTACTCTAAGTATCTACATTTATACTCAGACATTTGCTGCTGGGATGTGCCTTTGGTTAGAGAAGCTTCATTATGAAGCGGACGACGGCTGATTCAGAGGCTCAGAACTGCTCGACAACGCATCCCTTACAAATAACACTGAGTGTTCAGCTGTGGATGGGTCATCCATACCAACCTCCTGCCATCCAAGGCTCAGTCAGGGAAGTTCTTAGAAGAGGGGGACAGAAAGAGCCTAAGAGTCAGCAGATGATAGGGAAGCTGACATTTGGACACAGCATGGCTCCAAACTACCAGCTCACGGCGGCTGTGGTCACCTGCATGACATCAAAGCTGTTGAAGCTCCAACATGGGTGGAGGAGGGGACCCCAAGACACACCTCTGTCAGGGGAGCTACTGCAGCTGATGGTTGCCGAGGGAGGGGAAGCACCTCTCCTTTGGGGATGTGGCCTGATGGAAGGTTGGCCAGCCCCAGTGGATAGCCAGGCATCCACGGTCACAGGGGCAGAACTAACTGGATTCAGGGTCACCACAAAAATAAATAAATGCAATGAAGACACGAAACTGGGAGGGAGATCGGGTGAGCCACTCTGAGGAGCTGCAAGGAGGTAGTGTTGGATGTATATGACCAATATACACTATATAACATATGGAACTTTCAAAGACTAAAATATTATTAAAATGATGCTTTTAAAAAAAATAAAGAAAGAAAAGCATTCCAGCATTTCAGGACTTCGCACCTCGAGCCCAGCACTCAGCAGGTCCTTACCTGACCCCTCCCAGCTGGGTTACATACTAAGTCATAATCCTTAGGCATTCTTAGCGTGAATGAATGATGCTAGAATTCTCTACCAGATGAGCAATTCGAGGTGCTGCAGTGAGGTGCACACAGACAGGGGCTCTGGAGGGATTCAAACCTTGGTTCAAAGCCGGGCCCTTCCTCTTATTTGCTGTGTGGCATTGAGTGAATTATTGGCCCTCTCTGGTCACAGTAAATAGTGAACCACCACCAGTGCACTGTTGCTGGGGGATGGTCTGTATGTCAAATTACTCTGATTGGTCAATAAATAAAACACTGATTGGCCGGTGGCTAGGCAGGAAGTATAGGCAGGACTAACAGAGAGGAGAAAAGAAAGAACAGGAAGGCAGAAGGAGTCACTGCTAACTGCCGCCATGACAAGCAGCATGTGAAGATGCCGGTAAGCCATGAACCATGTGGCAAGGTATAAATTTATGGAAATGGACTAATTTAAGCTATAAGAACAGTTAGCAAGAAGCCTGCCACGGCCATTTGTAAGCAATATAAGTCTCTGTGTTTACTTGGTTGGGTCTGAGCGGCTGTGGGACTGGTGGGTGACAGAGATTTGTCCTGACTGTGGGCCGGGCAGGAAAACTCTAGCTACACACTGTGGTCAGTTATTCATTTGCTCAGCAAGTATTTCTGGAGCACAGCTTGTGAACCAGCCCTGGGGACACAGACATGGAGAATACAGGCAAGGGGTCTCTTATTACAAAGGTACCAGCACACGCTGTTCCACAAGTACCCCCACTCTGGGACACGGCTGACTGGACCCAGGACTAGTGGGGAACAGAGCAGGGAGCTCGGGAGGTACTGGAGGACATTGCCTGGGGCCGCTGAGGATGCCCTGCCTGAATGAGGGTCGGACCCGCTCACCCTCTCTGGTCCCCAGATCATCTTCTACAACGGGTAAGCAGAGCCACCCTGTCAGAGGAGCTATTGCAGCTGATGGTTGCCGAGGGAGGGGGAGCACCTCTTCTTTGGGGATGTGGTCTGATGGAGGTTGGCCAGCCCCAGTGGATAGCCAGGCATCCACGGTCACATGGGCAGAACTAACTGGATTCAGGGTCACCACAAAAATAAATAAATGCAATGAAGACATGAAGCTGGGAGGGAGATCGGGTGAGATCCTCCTGGAATTCCCCAGAGCACCGGGTAGATGTTTGTGTTCCTAACACAGCCCCTGGTAGAGCTCTTTCTAGATGCCAGTTCCGGAAGCCAGCTTGTTCAGCCTTCATCTCATGAGACCTGACAACAGCCCTGACATCCTCGTGAGGACAGAGGAACAGAGAAGCCGGGCGACTTGCCCAACTCACACAGCCAGACACCATAAAGGATTGGAATTGTGGGCTCTGACTACAGACCGTGCATTGACCCCGCACCCCAATGCCCCCCCCCATTCTCTCTTATGCAAACAGGTGCCAGACACCTTGGGGCACGGTGGTAGGTGGAGCCTCAGATACCCCAATCTAACTTAGTTACACAACTTGGACATCACATGAATGGTCGGTCACCCACTTTCTGACTTCTCCACCATGGACAGGGGACTCAATGGAAGAGAAGACATGTCCTCATCTACACAGTAGACCAGAATTTTTCTCCACACTGATGATTGTATTATCAGATAACCTGGTTCTTGGGAGTGGCCCAGGTGTCCCTATTCTTAGAGCCTCAATTTTATGTTTTTTGAATCAGATATTTGAACCTGAGATTTTCTTCAGACAATTGCCACTGGCCAAGCATGTGGCAGTGGTCTTCAAGGCTCCACCCGGTCATCTTCCTGCTGAGACACCCCACACCCTGGCACATGCTATCAGAGCAGACTGGGCTTATCTGAGTCTATTCCACATGGTGATGGCTTCTCTGTCTGTCACTCTGGTCCCTCTGTCACCATAGCAGCAGTGAGCGGTTCATCTTAATTACATATCTGCTGGACCCACAGTTTCTGACTCAGACATTAAGTCCAGATTACATCAGGGTCACCCTTGCAAGGGAAATGGAGCTGAAATCCAGAGAGCAAAGGACAGAGGTCATGCCTCTGGTGAAGGATTGCGATAGCCAATGGGGGATTCTGCGACTGGCGCTCTCCTGGATTTGTGGGTGTCCTATTTTGAGCAATCACCAAACTGTTGATGGGGTTGCAAGCTGGTGAAGCCATTATGGAACTCAGCATGGAGCACCCTCAAAACACTTAAAATAAATCCATTATATGACCCAGCTACACCACACCTTGGCATATGCCCAAAGGACTTTGCATCCTACTCCACAGATGTTTGCTCAGCCATAGCCACGCTCTTGGTTGCTCTACTCACAACATCCAGGAAATGGACACAACATACATGTTCTTCAGCCAACAGTGAGTAATGAAAACGTGGTACAGATATAAACTGTGGAATGTAAACAAAAACGCACTTTTGGGGCAGAGACGATCATGTTACGTGAGGTAACCCAGACCAGAAAGGCAAATGTCTCATGTTCTGTTTCTCCAGAGGCTCCCAGTTCTAGATCTTCAGATGTCAATAAAGATCCTGGAGTCACAGTGGCAGCCAGAAAAGTAAAATGGGATCATTGTGGGGGTGGGTGGGAGAATGGCAGAATACAAGTGATGTGATGGAGGAAATGAGACAAGAAGGTCTCTAATGAAGGGATGGGGGGAGATCTATACAGAAGAAGGAGGGGGGAAGATAAAATAACAGTAGGGATGTCTGGAAAGATCATTAGGAATCATACTATTAACTACCTAAAAACACCAATAGTGCACATAAGTAAATGACTAAATAAACATATACAGTTTAAATAAAAAAAAATTTCATCTGAGCTAACAACGTTCTTCAAGAGCCAAAGACCATCTAACACAAACCCCAACACCCTACATAAGAAGCCCCATTTTGAGTTGCTGGTCAGGATTAGACAAGGGATTCCCAAAGCATTGTAGACTATTGCTATTGCCCAGAGGTGGAAGATAAGTCCCTATGGCTGGACACCATGCCCTTTGGACAGAATGCAGAGGACCTGAGTTGGAGCTGACCTGGATGCCTCCTTCCCAAGGACTAGATTTCATGGTACAGAAGGCGCCATGCCAGCTTCCAAAGGAGGGAAGCCACCAACAGTCCTACCCAGCTATGATGTCTGTGAGATATAACAACGACCAGCATGGCATGGTAACACTAAGGGTATAGAAGTGGCAGGCACACCTTGGCTGTAACCAACACCTCTCTAGCTTGCTGAACGAGAGGAAAATCATGCCTGGTGCTGGAAACCCAGCCAACTACCCAGGGCAAGTGAAGTCATGGATCTTGGAGGAGAAGCTACAACTGTCACTTTCCTAAACCAGCATGACCCCTAACCACACTCTAAATACTTGTCCTTACACCCACAGTAAGTGTAGTTCTCTGCCTTCATCATGAAAACCTCTCCTTGCAGCATAGGGGCACCCATTACAGAAAACTATACAACCAATCAGAACGCAGAGTTATGGAGCCTAATCTCAGCAGATACATCTACAACTCCTGAGCCTAAGATTTGGGGACCGTTGAGAAGAGGGAGCATTAAGATGATAAGAACAGAGAATCAGGGAGTTTGCTGTGAGACTATGTGGCCTAGTAATGTCAGAAGCTATATCCATAAAGTACCACCGACATGACTGCCCAAACACGATCTGAACAAGAATGGCATCAATAGACACACTAAAGTGGATGGTGGGGGTGGGGGTGGGGGACCCACGGGTTCTCAACCCTACACAAAGAACTGTAGGCAGCTGAGGAAAGCTGAGAGTATGACAGCCTTCCCCAGGGAAGATCACACCAGCCGGGCATCCAATACCAAATGGTCCACCCTGAAAATATATCTGTACGACTAACATTATACATACCGAGCAGGTGGTATTTATGTATCTAGGAGTACACACAGACACCACCACCCTCTACACACACATATGAATATAACAACTATTAATGAGAAAGAAGCCATACATTTGAAAGAGAACAAGGAGGGGTGCAGAGGACGGTTTGTAGGGAGGAAAGGGGAGAGGGGAATTGATATAATCCTATAATAATCACAAAAATAAAATCAATAATGTAAAAGCTTCGCTTTCATTCTTCATTATTTGTAGGCTTGCTAGTGTATGTACACTTGAGTGCTGTGGCTCTGGAAGTCTAGGAAAAGGCATTCGATCCCCTGGGGCTTAAGTCGCAGGCAGTTGTGATCTCCCCAAAACAGGGCCAGGAACTGAGCTCAGGTGCTGGACAAGATCTGGCCGTCCAAGTTCTGCTGAGTCATCTCTCCAGCCCCGAGATGATAAAACCTTACATCAAAGATTTAAAATAAAATTTCTCCATGAGAAACACAGGGCAACAGATTTTTCTCTTGTAAAGTCTGTAGCTCACCATACTACAAGGCTGGATTCAAATGTCTCAGCTCAAGAAATCCTCCTGCCTCAACCTCCAGAGCCGCTGAGGTAACAGGCATTGTGGCAGCGTGCCTGGCTTTAGCTCCATTTTCCTTAGGACTCCACTCAAAACAGCAACCAAAAGCGAAACAAAGCCATAACTGACCGTGCTTATTTCTAAACCAAAGAGCGGCTAGTGTGACCCCCGAGACGGAAGCAGCGATACAGACTAGTTATTCTTTGTTCACGCTGAACTATTCCAAAGAACTGACGAGCCATGCCTTGTGGATGTCTGTGTTACAGCTGGGTCCTTCCTTACCACCGAGTCAGTGACTTCTCAGACCCCGAGAGGGCGAGTAACCTCCTGAAATGACACCGCTGGGAAGTGGCCGGCACACCCCGACCCCCAGGTTAGCCTACAAGCCTGAGGGTTTGAGCTGTCATCCACATCCAGGTCACAGGGCAAGACTCTTACCTGGGGCTGAGGAGAGGGCTGCTGACAGCTGACTGTCGAGAGGGGGTCCTCACGGTATCTGTGGCTAGGGACAGGGAACAGCTCATCCAGGACCGTAGACTGCCCTCTGGCTGGGAGCTGATGACAGAGACATTGTCCCTAGAAGCCAAAGTTAGGACACTGATCAGTGGCAATGGCAGCAAGGACCATAATCAGACCATCACTCCACACGGTGAGCCCGGCCCCTGCAGGGCATTCACCATGCTGTACCACAGACAGAGAACTGGTACTGGCCTATGAAATGGGAGGAAGCACTGGCACTTGGGTCTTAGCCAAGGCCACCAGACCAGTGCCTGATGGAAAACCTGCTTGCTTTTATCCCAGTA